TCTCTCTCTCTCTCTCTCTCTCTCTCTCTCTCTCTCTCTCTCTCAAAAGATCTTGTTTAATTTGTCTCATTGAAATATTAAATTAAAAAAACAACATAATCAAATTTTCATCATAGTTGTCACTTCGTAAATAAAATTTTGTTTTATTGTTCGCGTAAAGTATGTTTTGTTAAATAATCTTGATATAAAATGTCAATATGATTAACTCTTTATTTAAAATATTATTACGAAAGCAACGGTCTATTACCGTACCAATTAAGTTCCGGAATGTCCTATTTGTTGCTTTTCAGGGTCAAACAAACAATAACAGTTTCATGCCAACTATTTCCTGCATACCATCATCAACAACATTCTATACAAATTCGTTCATCGCTGCCAAGAAATTAATTTCCTTTGTTTTAGTCGCGTAAATAAATATTCCTATTTCAGAAGAAAACTTGCAACAGTTGCAAAATAACATTTGCTTTATCAGTATGTACAGCTGGATGCTAGAATGCGCTCTGGCATTTCCAGCAAACATTTATATATTTTTTAGAAGATATTTTATAAAACATTTAGTCTATATTTTAATAATATTTCGAAAATACAACTTACAAAAAGTCTGCATAAAATATTTATATTCAATATTTAAAAAAATAAATAATAAATATTTATGAAAGTTTACTATAAATATTCTGTCTGAATTTTTCTGTCTCTCTTTTTTTTGTTTTTGTTTGCACATAGAAAAATATGTACAGTACGCAAATGATAATCACTTGTTTCAAATATTTCAAAAGTTTATACATCCGCGGAAAGGTTAAAAAGACCGTTTTTGTATCAAGTACGGATTTCTATCCGTAGTTATTAGACAATTATTAGGAGTGTGATTTAGTTTTGAGGATTTTCTTCTCAAAAATTTATTTAAACAAGATTTATTTAAACAAGATAATGGATGAATACCTTAATCAAAATACTTTCCTTCGTTTTGTATAACTTTTCCATCTTTCTGGCAAAAGATGGATTCCGACGATAAAAAGATTCTTTTGTGAAGTTGATTCAATTTTCAACAAATTTTCGCACATCCGAAAGTGTGTATCCTGTAGAGCATGTTGCATCGACTAGAACAAGTGAAAATCAGATAAAGCAATGCCTGGAGAATACGCGGGGTGCGGGGTAAGATTTCCCATTCCAGCTCTAATAGCGTTGCTTCGCTAATAATGCAACATGAGATCGAGCATTGTCATGAATCACTTTGCGTCATTTATTCGCAATTGGAGATCGTTTTTGGTCTAATGTTTGCTTCAATTATAATTATTGTTGATAATAATCAGCAGTGAAAGTTTTTTTTCGGATTTAATAGTTTATTCATAGTACACAACACCTTGATCCCACTATATACACAGCAATATCTTTGAACTGTGAATATTATGCCTCAAAGTGAATGTTGCTTGTTGGCCTGGATCAACCATGATTTTTTTCGTTTGGAATTATCAAAATAGATCCATTTTTCATCCCCAGTAACAATTCGAAACAAAAAACCTTTCTTCTTTAAATCGACCATCGTCTGGCGATCAACGAAATGCAAATGTTCAATCGGTTCGCAATGGCATTTTCCGATAGCTGATGTGAAACCCATTTTTGTTCTTTGTCTTCTTTCTTTTCCATGTCATGTTAACGTTTAGTAACTGTTGTACGATCAACATTTAATTCTCTGGTAAGTTCTAAAATGGATTGTGTTGGATTTCCGTCTAATAATGCTAGTAAATCTGCATTTATTAACTTTTTTGGTTGTCTCGAGCGATCCTAATGACATTGAAATCATCACTTTTAAATCGTCTAAACAATATTCACATGTCTTAATTAATGGAGCATTATCATAAATTTCTATCAGAATTCTAAGACTTTCAGCCATCGTTTTCTTCTGATTAAAAAACAAAAGCAACGTATGTCGCAAATGCTCTTTAGGAAGCTCCATTTTTTATTGGTATTATACCTATTGGTATAAACATCGTGATTAATGATTACTGCGTCTATTATTAAATGACGTCTATGATTAAATATCATAGAATAATAGTAAAGCATTAAGAAACAATAGCTGCGATTGGAATGTCTTCGACATATTGACATTAGTGTGCGTGTGCGTGTGCGTGTGCGTGCGTGAGTGCGTGCGTGCGTGCGGGCGTGCGTGCGTGCGAGCGTGCGGGCGTGCGGGCGGGCGTGTGTGTGTGTGTGTGTGTGTGTGTGTGTGTGTACTATCTCTTGCAAAACCCTCAAAATTAAATCACACTCCTAATATTATTGTATTAGATAACTTTTTTGTATTATATGTTCATTAAAAATGTCAAAAATAATAATTATATGAGAAAAAAACTCGATAAAATCCTAATTAATTATTGGTTTAAATATGTCGCTATGATATTAAGCTCTTTTCATGACTAATAAGAAATATTCTACGTGAAACCGGGCACCTTTGAAATATGATTCTTTTTAACTTTTTTTTAAATTTGCTGATATTCTACAGATAAAAATTGAGACATGTTTCATGAAAAAAATTTGAGATTTTTTTTGTGAAGTTATTTTCGCTTATAAGTACAAAAAAAATGCAAGAGATTAATTTTAAAGATCTTAAATTGTTCTATGGATTGACTATATTTTATTTATCATTTTTATATAAATCATTTTCCATTAGTTTACAATTTTTATTAATATTTTTCATCATCAACTCAATTAAAAAATTTTGTAAAAATCTCGTCATATTTCCACTTCAATTATGAAGTGAAAATTACAAAATGGAACTCGAATGGAATGTATAGTTAAAAAATTCTGTTGTGTGAGCACGGTTCCGTATATATGTGCGAAACTGCACCGTTACACAACAGAATTTCTTACTATACATTCCATTTAAATTTCATTTTGTAATTTTCAGGATTACTTTATAATTGAAGTGAGAATATCTTTACAAAATTTTTTAATTGATGAGTTGATGAAAAATATTAATAAAAATTGTAAACTAATGGAAAATGATTTATTTATATAAAAATGATAAATTAAAAATAACCCATCCATAGAACAATTTAAGATCTTTAAAATTTGCATTTTTTTTATACGACTAATAGTTTTGATGCCGATTAATATTTAGACTGCACGCGGGTTGGTGATGTAAGAGACGGGAATCAAACTGAAAATCAGTTGAAAGTTGTAAATAAATTCCAGCATTGCCTTATATGATATTAATAAACACGCGTATATAATTTAGATGACAACAATTTAAAAAGATAAATTAAATTGTAATGTAAAAAAATTAAATCCGTAAAAATCACAATGAAAAAATATATTATCTCTAACAATCGCGTAAGGATGCAGTTATAACTTTATCAAAAGAAACGAATCATAAGGTAAATATCGTCTATGCAAACAGACAGAATATAAAACAATTTTGGTAATTGTAAAATACAATCATAATATAACATGGCTATTTTTTATAAGTTGGATTTAACGCTAATAATAGAAGCTCAAACATTTGCAATTGTGTCGCCAAGCATGATTTTTATTGACAGATGTACTTTTTTTATAAGTCTATCAATAAATCTGATATTCATATAAGGACGTACTAATTCAACTTTCAGGAATTCTCTGCGTTTATTTATTTTTAACATGCGGTTTACTTTTAATTTCCACAAATTTTATGTCACCTTGTAATCCCATAGAATTTTATGATACTTTATTTTAATGTCTGACTAGACTCTTGAAATATTTGCATTCTTGTTTCCACCGAGCTAAGACTGGATCAAAATTAAGATTTTCGTTCAAACTATTAATTTCGTATCAAACTATTAATAAAAAAAAAACACTCGCAAATAAAGTATAAGAAATCTTAAGAACACGATTTGAATATGCAACGAAAGATATCCAATCGTTTTACTTTATTTCTTTTTATGAAAGAAATAAATCAATTTTATGCGTTTATAACTTTCTTTAAACGTATAGGGTGTGTAATAAGTAATAATAAAATATTTCGCATAGGTAGAACGGACTAAACTTTACAGAAAAATAGCATAAGACAAAAATTGTTTATTTTCTTCTCATAGAGTTGTAAGAATTTTTTCAGAATTTTTTGTCAATTTTTTAGTACGGCATTTTCTTGTTGGTAACTATTTTTACTAAATTAAATAATATAATTTATACAAATTAAATAATACAACTTAAATTCGTAATACAACGAGTACTCTTTCAGAAAAGATTTCTGATAGCAAAAAAAATATTCTTGTTGTACTTATTGCAACTTCATATAGTATAAAATTATAACTGTATTAAGATTTAATCAATAATTTTTATTCTATTTTCTCGAATAAAATAAGATCGATTTATGTCCGTTTCTACCAACGTAGATTAACTTTAATCTCGGTTCAACTTATTCTTTATCTTTTTCTAGTTCTAAAGATTAGAAAAAGGCGAAAAGTAAGTTGAACCGAGATTAAAGTTAATCTACGTTGGTGGAAATGAGCATTATTGTGTTTAGACAAGTGTAATGCACATAAATTTAAATTTATACAGTCTTAAATTTAGTAAGTCTTTATCCGATATTATACATATGATGCTATAACGTTATTGTAACGAAGTTCTTGTGATGTAGGAAATCAGCAATACGCGGAATGAGAGATCCCGAGTTCGAGTCCCGGCAAGGCTCAGTTTTTTTCGTCGCTGAAATTTAAAACACTGACATTCTACAAACTAATTTCTGCAAGAATGCAGTAAGATATTGCCTTCAGTGTTTAATATTAAATAAATACTTATGTCTAACTTAAATTAATTAATTTTATTTTAAAAAATTAAAGAGATAGCATTAAGATTTTATTTCTAAATTTTAGAATTTTCTATTAAAGAATAAAATATTCTTTTCTGAAGAATAAATTGGTTCCATATTGATTTCATTTTATTTTAAATCGAGATAATTAAATACAAAAATGTAAAAAAGAAATTTTTTTATTGCAAAAAAGTGTGCATTTTTCACAAAAAGGCAAAGTAACTCGAATTTATGATGTTAGAAAAGATAAATGATAATGAAAAAAGATACCTTGCCTACTTTTCTTCTCACTGTTGATAAATGGGGTTTGTCCGCGGGGATGACAGTACTGAGCAGAAATATGAGCGTGCCAGATGCAGTTGGCCGTGCAGACCTGCGCAACACGATACGATATTAATGACGACGATGCATATCTATGTATGTAGTATAGGCTTTATTTATATATGTGTCCTACAAAAATAGTATTATGTATAAGCGACAACTGCACCAGATGCATGAATGCGGGCGCGATGGTGTATACGATGAAGAGGTGTATCATTCATTGGACGAAAGGGCAAGAACGCAGACCTTTACCTTTCTTTATACATCCCTACTCCACATTCGAACATGCATTTGCATATGATATGCACCACATAAGTGCGTCGGGCTGCTTTTAGGCCTGATTGCACCATTACTTTGATTTTAAGTGAAGCTTAAAACTCTCTCTATCTCTGTCTCTTTTTCGCTTTAAAACAAGATAGAGAGAGTTTTCACTTTTGCTTAAAGTTACAGTAACGTTGATGCAACCGAGTCTTAGAAACCTTATTCTTATTTTGTACGACATTAAGCTCATCACATGGTGGAAAAAATATTAACAGTTATGTGATAAAAATAAAAGAAGATTGAAACCTTTCTCTCTCCCTCTCTCTCTCTCTCTCTCTCAAGTTATTTGATATAAAATGCAAATTGATTTTTGATTGACAGCTATATGCACATTATATTATATTAACAAACACGTGAATTATTTCATGAAAATTTTTGTTCTTTGAAAAAATAATGTAATAACTTTTTTTATTTTATGGCAGCTTGCAACGAAAAATGTGAATAATGCCAGTTAGTGACAAATCAACTCATCTAAAACACTCACTAATTTTTATTGTACTAATGCAACGATCTAACACATTAATCCCTGGCTAAACATTTGTAACTTGTTTGCTCTTTGACAACAGTGCTTACTGGGCAAATATGTAAGTGGAAAATATATCGTTAGAAATAAAAAAGTAAGAGATAGTTACTCTAAATCTTGTATAGAATTTTGATATAGTCTTAATCTGGCACTAGAAATGACCATAAATCTTAAGTTTCAATAAAGTTTTAAGCTTTAAACGATTTATAATTCACACTAAATTTTAAGATAAAGTTCCATTTATATTTATTTATATGCCATATATATATTTTTAAAAATCCTGTATACATGTTTACGTGCTTATCTTACAGTTATATTACACATTGCAGTTACCACACATTATATAATAGTTGTACCTTTTATGACTCAACATTCTTGCAATATTTTAAAACTATGATTTTAAGCTATGTATTCTAGATTTTTTTCAGTAGTTGAAATAATTTTTAATGATTTTATATATATAAAGATATAAAATAATGTATGGTATAATATATATTAAAAAAATTTTTAATATTTTATCCAAAGGATCCTGCATAAAATCAAAAAAGGATTTTGGTCCTCGGTGAAATTGGCTGAAACTTTAGTATGTTATAATTCTTAATTCACTTATCAAAAGTGTCCATAGGCACAAAGCTTGAAAATGACTAGTTTTTTTATTATAGTCGTTAAAAATTTTATTTTATTAATGCCTTAAGATCAAATTTCTGTAATAAATCAAAAGATTTTAACAGCTAGATAACAACATGCTACCCACTTTCCCTCACTCTCCCTTCCTCTACCCTCTCATTTTATCCCCACCACCCACTCCTATTCCCACATACATACATACGTCTACATGCGCAATTTTATATGAAAAAGTGGCACAAAAATCGAAATAAATCTTTTATAATCATGTTTTTACTTCTCTCACGCATACCGTTTGAAATGCGTGAGTTCCCTTACCTATCATGTGCGAGATACTTGATTATTACAACTCGAATGTTTGTTTCCGCGTGTGAGCGCACTATGCGCAAAAATATCGGGTGCTTGCTAAAATGCGATAACAACACAGGATAAAAAATTCTTTTTTCTCTTCTCTTTGTTTTTTTTTTGTGGAGAAAATGTGAGAAACAAGGGGATTTACGAAAATCAATTTCAAAGGAATGAAACGCTTATCATGTTCACATCGTTCATTTCGTGTAATTCTAAGAATGGGTAAAAAACTAAAATTATAAACATACCATTGATTCATACACATGCACACGCGCACGTGCGCACACACGCACACATGCACATGCACATACGCACACACACACACACGCACACACAAAAACGTAATAAAAAAGATTTACTTCGATTTTTATGCAAATACATTTTTATATAAAAATACACATGCAAGTACATATATGAGTCTGAGGGTGAGGTAGGGATGGGGAGATATGGGGGAGTGAGAATATGGCTGGTAAGAGTAGAGATGGCATATTGTTATCTAAAACTGTTGATTTATTAAAGAAACTTGATTTGAGGCATTAATAAAATAAAACTTTAAACGATTATAACAAAAAACCTAGTTTCCAAACCTCATTTTCAAACTTTGTATCTATAGACACTTTTGATCAGTGAGTCAAGAACTATAATATAATAACATACTAAAGTTTCAGCCAATTTCACCGAAGGCCAAAATCCAATAATTCTGTGAGTCGGTTTGAATTTTTTTTTTAACAAAGGGAGTTTCTTTTTTTTTATACATTGGAGAATTTAGTTATAAAGCATTAAAAAAATTTTAAGATTTTTCTTATATTTTTTAAATTTGATAAGTTTATTTATTAAATTTAATCTCCAATAATAACAAAAATGGCAGCGCTTAGTTCTTTGTTCTTTTGACATTCTGACATACATGTGTATCAGTCGCGTTCAAACTCTCTTGCAATCAAGATCTTCTATCATGTGAACAGTAACTGAGTAAGTTCTAAGTTTTTTACTTTGCAAACACAACAGACAGCTGCTAGCTCATTAAGATATATTATGTGTATTTGCCTCATAAATATGTAAATGTTGCATAATATAAAAAATTTACCCTCTATTCTATTATAATAATTATGTATAACTATTTTTAATTTGTTAATTGGCTATATATTTAACTGAAAGCAATTGTTCATTTATATTCTGATATTTTGGTAGTTTGGTTCAAATTATTATATACGAGGTCTGTTCAAAAAGTATCGCGAATTTTGTGTTTTTTCAAAAATTATTTATTTATTCATGAATATCTATTTTGTCCCCTTCAAAGTAATCCCCATCAGATATTATACACTTGTGCCAACGTTTTTTCCAATCCTCGAAGCACTTCAAAAAATTATTTTTTGTGATCTTGTTCAGCTCCTCCTTCGATGCCGTCTTTATCTCCTC